GTTGTTTTGATTTGCATCTCTTGGATGATTAGTGACTTTGAGCATTTTTTCATATGTCCCTTGGGCTTCTGTATGTCCTATTTTGAAAAATGTCTATTTAAGTCCTTTGCCCATTTTTTATTGGATTGTTTATCTTCCTTTTGTTAAGTTGTATGAGTTCCCTATAAATTTTGAAGATTAAATCCTTTTCAGATATAACATTGGCAAATATGTTCTCCCATGCAATGGGCTTTCTTGCTGTTTTGTTGGTGGTTTCATGAGTGACCTTTTAAAAAAATTCTTTATACTCTTTTGTTTATAGCATACTTTGCCTTCTACCAATATCCATGCCTACTTATGCTTCCCACAGAGGACTTGTTGCGGTTGATGTCACCCATAAAGAAAGTCACAGTAGCCAAAACTGGTTTGGCTCAGTGGATGATAGAGCGTCGGCCTGTGGACTGAAAGGTCCCAGGTTCGATTCCGGTCAAGGGTATGTACATTGGTTGAGGGCTCATGCCTGGTAGGGGGTGTGCAGGAGACAGCTGGTTGATGTTTCTCTCTCATCGACATTTATAGCTCTCTATCCCTCCCCTTTCCTCTCTGTGGAAAATCAATAAAATATATTTTTTTAAAAGAAAAGAAAAGAAAAGAAAAGAAAAGAAAAGAAAAGAAAAGAAAAGAAAAGTAAGTCACAGTAGTCTGTCTGAGACAGCTCCCACCACACTTTGCCACTGCATCTTGAAAATATATTTGCTTGCCCACTTTCACGGAGGTGACTCATGATAGGTCATCTTCCTCTTCAGTATTACCTTTCACAAACAAGAGGAATCCTCTTCATGTAAATCCAGCTCTATGGGAAATGCTTGTCTATTTTTTATCAAAATTATATACCCACACAAAAAGTGTAACTTTCCCCTAAAACACATATTGTTGTTCCCTAAACAGCAGTTCCTTTTGTCATGTTCCACTCACACCTCTCTCTCCCTCTCTCTCTCTATCTATCTCTCTCTCTCTCCCTCCCCCCCCCCTCTCTCTCTTTCTCTTCTGACTTTTCCCACCTTATAACAGGTAATTTTCTATGGAAATTCCTAATCATTGCTCTCATTTATATTCTCTTAACAGTCCTAACAACTATAGTTCTGTAAAGTTTCTAGAAGTATGATTTTATTTCTGAGGGTAATTCCTCCTAGCATCCTTGTTGAGATCACCAGGGACTTTCAACAAGCTTTAGTCCACTCTTTATTCTACCAATATCTCTGCTTTCTTGTTCAGTGACTCCAACTTCCACTCAGAGTTCTTTCCAGGTATACCACATACCACATGCTTTTAGTCACAGGCACCCCCTCGGGTACCCACATGGTGCTGAGCTCCCCTTAGGTCCAGGCACTATGCCAGGAAACCCTAGAATATATAGAACAAGTCAGCCAGGCTCTCTGCTCTGGGGGAATTTTGCTTCCAGGTACTATATATATATATATATATATTGTTGATTTCAGAAAGGAAGGGAGAGGGAGAGAGAGATAGAAACATCAGTGATGGGAGAGGATCATTGATGGGCTACCTCCTGCATGCCCACCACTGGGGATTGAGCCCACAAGCCTGGCATGTGCCCTTGACCAGAATCGAACCCAGGACATTTCAGTCTGTCGGCTGACACTCTATCCACTGAGCCAAACCAGCTAGGGCTACTCCCAACTTCTGATATTGTGATGTCTGCAATGCTTGAGAGCTCAAGGCAGGAATTTCCAAACTGTTTGCCCAACATTAGTGTTGTGTGAGACATTAATAAACAGTCCCCACCAAAAAGAATTCTGGTTAAGAACATCTGGGAAACAGAATTACATGTGCTAACATGTATTAGGACTTTTGAGGAGGTTTTTGTAAGTGTACTCGACCTGCAAACATCTTTTCAAGGAAGTCCTGTTTGAGATATTCCTCTGATGCCCTTGGAGAAATGCTGGCTCAGGAGTAGCTTCAGCCTGCTCAGTCCTTCCAAGTGCAAGGACCACATAGAAGTCATTCAAGCATACATCCTGGTTAGGCGGGAAATGGATATCTTCATGATTTCCCTTCACTCTGTCTTTTGAATGACAAGTAAGCTGAATCTGCATCCAATACTCAGTTATTTACTTTACCCCAGGTATGTGTTGTGTGCAATTTACCATCTCAGTCTGTATTCCTAGCCCAGATCTCTCCCCTTAGCTAGGCACCCCATATATCCTCCTGTCCTGTGCCAGTTGTCACCAATCTTTCAGACCTCACGTACCACCAGTGGTCCTCGGACGACCAGTTGGCGACCACTGCCAGGACAGCCACCTAGTGGAGATCTTTAACAAAATGTCCAGTAAGCACTTCAAATCTGTCCCACACAGAAGTGATTACTGTCTTTGTAAAAAGTATTTCCCCATTTGCATCGCCTAATGGTCTCCTTACTACCATACAACCAGAAACCTGGAAGGTATTCTGAATACCATCCTCTCAGCCAAGTTGTCATTAAGTCCTCTTGGATTTTCTCCCTATTATCTCTTTGCTCCCTCAACTGCATTATCTAATTTGGGGTCCTCAACACAGTGGTTCTCTAATGGCTTCCATCTTAGGCTATGTTTTCTGGGGGGAAAGATCTAGTTTTCTGCAATGTGCATGCAGGAAGGCTATTGGAGAGAGCTATGGGGAGCCATCCCTGGGCGGGGGGGGGGGGGGGGGGAGTGGTCAGAGGGAGACGTTGAATGTCAATGTGATTACATGAGTAGCCTCAATCATTCCTACAGGGTGCTCTGGAATTGGGTGACCCTTCACAGTTGTCCCAACTTGATACAAGGGGTTGAGGTTGTATGACCTCAAACCAACACATTTTCACTCTTTTCAACCTCTACTATCCACACCAACCCTTTTTCCTCCACATCCCCACTGGGTGTGGGCAACCCCCTACCCCACCTCAGGTTGCCATAACCTTTGGCCAGAATGAACCTCAACTAAGAGCAGCCAGCCACCAATTCTCCCAGAAGCCTTAGCTCTGAGGGGATGAGGGTGGCATACCACAGCATCTCTATCCCTAATCTTGTTGCTTTTCAATCCCCCATGACACTACCAGAGGAGTTTTACTAAACTCAAGTTTAATCACACTATACCCTTACTCGTAACCTTTCAATAGCTCCACCTCACCTACAAGATAATACAATTCTGATCTCTGACTACCTGTGAAGCCTTGTCTCCCACAGCTTTCCTCCTGCGTGCACTCTTGCCCCACGAATACCAGTCTCCTAAAACTTATCAATCCTTCATGGATGCTGCTGCCTCTGCTGAATATGAGTTTGTCCCACTTCTCTCACTAGCAAGCTCCTATTCATCCTGTAGGACCCAGCACATGCACCCACTCCTCTGTGATGCCTTCCTTAATATCCTCAAGCAGAACTAATCTCCTGTGTACCCTTCTTCTACTCTTGGCGTTATATGCTTATGTGACTGACCTCCTTAAGAGCAAAGCCTGTGTTACATTCACTTTTGAATGCGAATGAATCAGCCATGTACGTCAGTATTGTATACAGCTATGTCTACATATGTCTACTGACTCAAACTAATTAGAATTTTTGGTCTATGCTGCTGTTTTTGCAAGTACTTAATCCACTTGTCCAATGAAGGCTATAGGCCTATGGTGGGAGGGACTCTGTGGAAATGCAGCTGGCTTGGTATATATAGCTCTGTGCAGTTAATAAATACTTCACATTGTGTTGATGCTATTCTCTTATATTGGGAAAGTGACATACGGGGTATGTCATGAAAGGTACCATGTGGCCTGACTTGCCCCAAAATCTATCTCTTATGACTGAGATCTCTCCCTCATGTTCATTCTGAAATTCTGGCCAGGTCAGTGGTTCCTTCAGGGGAGTGAATGCACTCTAAGGCATGGGCGGGCTGATGCATCTGTAGAAAATAATTCCTATGTCTCCTTATGTTTATTTTACCTATTTAAAAATTTATATTTTATATGTGCTTTATAATGCACATAACATAGTATATACATCTATCTATACATGCATTTAATTTATAGATAAATAGTATTAGGGAGTCTACACTCAAATCATTTTTTTTTTTTTACTTAGTAGCATATGGTTAAAAAAATACTTGGATACCCCTAGATTGGGCTCCAAAGACTGGAAGCTTCTTCAGCCTTCTCCCAGTAGCTTTCCAGCTAATCTGATTGCTGAGCTAATGCGTGCTAATGGGCACTTAAGGTCTTAGGGAAACTCTGAAGTCTGGGATCTGGAGTAGTTAGGAAGGAAAGGTAGGGGCGGGCGGAGGAGCAGGGCTACCCGGGGAAAGCACAGAGGCTGCATCTAGTCGGAGATGGTGAGCCATCTCGTGAGGAATTGAGAACCTAGAGAGCTCTAGGTTCAATTGCTCTACAAAAAGCCAGGGGTGGGAGGCGGCACTAGGCCGGACAGCCAACTGCAGGGTGGAGGGGATATGAAAGGACAGCAGTCCCTACCTTCATGAGGAAGATGCCCACCTGGCTGTCACTGCGGCTGGAGCTCATCTCAGAGTATAGCGAGCCAGGTGCCACATTGCCTTTATAATTATCCACAGTGTGGGTATACAGATTTTGGGAACACCCTACATACTATTTCCCGCATCCTTACCACAACCCAGCCAAGTGGGTATTCTTATATCCATTTTGCAGATGGTGATAAAAAATTCAAACAATAAGTTTGTTTAGCCCAAGCCCTATATTCTACAGATGAGGACTGTGAGGTCCAGGTAGGATTAACCAATTTACGACAGATAAAATGCAGATTCTGTCAAAGCCTCAAAGCCAGGACTCTGCGCAGGACTGCCAGAACTCCACCTCCTCCTAATTCTCCATCATTTTGTTACACTTCCCTGCCAGCCCGCCATGGTGCTAAAACCAGAGGTCAGCAGGCAGAAAGCAGGCGTGTGGAGTGGCTCACACATCTTCTTGGCTGTGCCTTTCTGGATCTTCCCAGGCAGTGTGTTCTAACGGCCTCTGTGTTTCTTTGCAGCGTGCAAAAGGAAAGAGCAAGAGCACGGGAAGGATAGAGGCAACACCCCCAAAAAGCCCAGGCTGGTCTTCACAGACGTCCAGCGCCGGACTCTACATGCAATATTCAAGGAAAACAAGCGTCCGTCCAAAGAATTGCAGATCACCATTTCCCAGCAGCTGGGGTTGGAGCTGAGCACCGTCAGCAACTTCTTCATGAACGCGCGGAGGAGGAGCCTGGACAAATGGCAGGACGAGGGCAGCTCCAATTCAGGCAACTCATCTTCATCAAGCACTTGTACCAAAGCATGAAGGAATCACCACAAACTAAAACCTCGGTGGAAAAGCTTTAAATAAAAGAAATTTTTAAAAGACCAGGACCTCAACATAGCAGGTTTATACTTAGAAATATTTGAAGAAGGAAAAAAAAAGAAGTGTTATTTATAGTCCAAAGAAACCAAAGACTTAGTTCACCTGCATTCTGACTTTGTTCGGAGACACACCTTTCAGCGAGTCGACAACTTGGCAAGAAGAGTTAGGAGCAGGAAAACACCACTGGATCTCACGCCTTCGACCCATGACCCTTCTCGCTGTGCTTGGCTGTTTCGTGGTTTGGAGCAGTGCTTTTGAGCCATTGAGTGGACATCTGTTAAGATCAGACTTTCTCATCTGTTCCACTGCGCCACGAAGGTGTATGATATCTCAGTACTGTGTGTGGGTGCGTGTACACACACACACACATACATACACACAACCACCACCACCACCACCACCACCAGTGGTCAGGGACTTAGGCAGGGCGGGCCTTCAGGGAGGGTTGTACTGGTAGGAGAGCAACCATCCATGTGGGGTTGTCTGAGTTCATTGGATTGGGATGTGATGTCGCTCACCTAGCCTATTGTTTGAACCTGCCAAGCCTGCAACCTAAATGCAGATTCAAACCCAGCAAAGAAAATTTGAATGACACCTAAACTCGTGCATTCTCTTTGTTTGTTAAGGACTGTTCAGATACTTTTTAAGAAATGAAATAAGAGTCCATCCATTAAAAAAAAAATCACCTAGGTACCAAAGAACACACTTAATATTATAGTGCAGGTATTTTATTGCAATGATTTTAATAACCAAAGCTATTTTTACACAAGATACTATGTAAAGTTATACATAAGAACTAATCTAGCTGTAACACACATGCCATGTAGAATCATGACTTTTATTTATGACTCTTAAAGCATTTGAAATATTTGTTTTCAGAACTGGCAAGAAAGAATGTCGCTTCAGGGAAGCAATTGCTACCATCACAGAGAGGTTGATGCAGTATGCATGTACACCCAGGTGGCACACTCCCTTTCGGGACCCGTAAATGTCACTTAGGTGGACATATGACATGATTCCAGAATCTGTTTAGAGCTGGGAAAACCTGTTGATGCTCCCAAAAATAGGATCCCATTTGTAAACTAGAAAACTAAGTTTACACAGGGCAGGTAACTGAATTAGAAAATTTGTTTAAAGTAATGCTTTTCGGTAAAAAGACCATGGAACTAAGACTCCATACTTAGATTAATTTGACAAATTTGCTGCATGCCTTTGACACCAAATACATTTCAAAAATACAAACTAAAATGGAGCTGACCAACTTTATTATTAAAATGAACTATCTAATATTTGAATAATCCTAAAAATATAATCAAACTTATGTTATTGCCAATCCCAAACATTTTATGACTTGGACATGAACAAAAATAGCAGGTCCAGCCCAGAAATGGGAGTTCTCCCGGTCTTCAACTGCTTACTTCGTTCCGCATAGCCTCCGGAGCGTACCACCTTCTTTCCTGCTGCTGCATTAAGCTGAAAATTTTATAACATAGATTCCACTCTCTAACAGGGACATATAAAAACTAGACCTGAACCTCCAAAAGTAAACATTTAAATTCATATTTTCTCAAATCACTTAACCAGGCCTATAGGAATCAAGGCGAAAAGGAAAAAACAAAACAAAAACCAAAGATAATACAGTTGTGATGATTTGATTTCAATAAGAAAACAATCATTTGATTTCCCTCTTCTCCCCCCTCCTCCCACCAAATTCTCTCTGAATTCCATTGAATTATCACTCATATAATTAGATGTCTTTTGTACTATTGGGTAAAGAACTGCATAGTCTTGGTTAATTAGCACATCTAACTAGAAATATAAAATTAAATGTTATGGCAACAATAAGTTGTTATTGAGAGTCATTAAAATGCTTTAAAAAATTAAACCATCTTGCCTAGGTCTAGAAGAGGCAGGCACCTGGAGAGAGGAGGCCACACCAGCCTGTCTCCTCCATGTCTGCTGGAGGGGGAAAGGAAGCCGGCATACTTATGTCCTCTTTCATGAAAGAACGTATTTACCTTGACACATGCTGTCTATTTTCTTTCTCTCACCTCAAATTCCAGCTTAAAAATTTCCCTTCTAAACATGGCACAATTACAATTCAGCTGTTAAAAGATACCATTTAAATGGCCACCTCCACGATTTGCTAAACATTTAATCTTGTCAATTACAAAAACTAAAAGGAAAAAAACTGATTAACGTTTTCTCTTTCCCTGAATAGAGGGGACCCTGGTTACAGCTACATAATCTAATTTAGGAGGGAGGAAAGCCTTATTTATTTAAAACAAGAGAATGTTAAAAACAGGGAAGTTCAAGCTGTATCTACACCCAATCTTACCAAAGTCAATGCCCCAGGAAAAACAAAAGTAGAATTCAGATGACCACTTTTTTTTGCTTTGATTTTACTACATGACTTGCCCAGTTAATCTAACCACATTTTAAGTTTTCAACCAATTCTTTTGGTACTGTGTAGACACAGTGTCAAAGAATATTACTACATTTTTAATATTCTCACCATGCTTTTTTGAAAAATAACCAGTGATTCTATTTGCTAACACCAAAGATAATTTTCATACCAGCATTGAATGTGCACCCATTATGCAATTTCAGGGCCTAGAGATATATTTTCTCACAAACAGATGCACAAATCCAAGCCTGAAAAGCAATCTTTTTACTTGACTGTTTAAACATCTTCACAATCTCTGCTTCTGAGAAATCACAATGGACAAACTCAGCTTCTCACAGCAATACACTTATCCCATCAAGTACAGCTGGTTCTATTCTGCTTCTGACTTGTCACAGAGAGGGAATGCTTCCATTTCTGTCTCACTAATTTACGGCTCAGGTTCTAAACCCAACATAGCTAAACAGATCACATAATTTTGTTCACCCACCATTTCCCAGTCCTTGAACAAAATTCCCCTAAAAACTCATATATATATATATATATATATATATATATATATATATATATATATATTCCAAAACTGCACTTCAAATAACACATTTTGGGGGGTTTTCACAGAATGGAAATTAGACTGGTTTTGGCCAGAAATCATTTATGTCCTCTCATGACCAAACGCTTCCCTGAAAGGGAGCCAAGAGAAAGAGTGAACACCACAAAAGCCCAGACTTCCGTAAATGTTCAGGTGGAAAAATTCTGGGTGCTGAGAACTGAGTGTTCCGGTCCCTGGATGCAGCTGGAATAGGCCCCCCAAAACCAGAGAAAATGTGTGGGAAAGTTCTAACTGAACATGTCACTCACTCTGCCTCCTTCCCTCAGAAAACCGTAATTAATTTTCCGGGAACAAAGGTAAAAGCACTATGCTATGTTTGGACTCATGTCCCCACCACTCCCCTACCCCCGCCCCACCCCCTCTCCCATTGCTACCCCAGGCGAATGACCCATCTTTGCAGGTTAAATGCAAACTTGACTATACCAAAGAGTCCTAGGACATTTTCACATGAGCTTATAAGGCATTTTCCCTCAAAAAGATCCTCCCTTCTTTGTACATAAAGGATGAAAACTATGCATTTAGCAAACAAAGAGAAAGCACTTCCCCCTTTCCTATCTAGCTGTTTAGGGTGCATTCAAACACCAGAGGCCATTTTGAGATGCGATTGGCCTTCTGGATTATTCTTGTGGTGTGGTTAGCTTCACAGTGCATTGGGTAACTATTTCCTAAATAGGAAGGACAAAGAAGCAGAAGGTAAAAAATAGCTACTTCCACGTGTAAAAAAAAAAAAAAAGAAAAGAAAAGAAAAAAAGGAAAAAAAAAGGAAAGAAAAAAGAAAAAAAAGAAAAAAAAGTGTAAAGATCTACTATTTATAGTGTGAACCAAAGATGCTACCTCACTCGATTTCCATTGGTGATTTTAATCACATTGATATGATACCAAAGAATACCAAAGATATTTTCATGCACGGCCTCCGTCTGCCGAGGGAACTCCACCCCACCCTTCTCCCACCTCCTCGCCCCTCCTCACTCTTCACTCAGTGTGTAAACTTGTCTTCATTCTTAATAATAATGAGACCACAACAACAACACATTAGGAAAATACTACTCTTATGACTGCTAGTTCTCCTTGTAAATCTCTAGGCAAACATGTTGCAAACTTTGTAAACTCCTAGGACGAGTGCCTTGCTTGAACCAAAGTGTTAAACCGCTGTTGACCTCTCTCACCTTATACTCTTTGAATACCTCAGCCTCTTAGAAAGGCCACTAATGGAAAGAAAAGGAAAAAAAAAAGGAATAATTATTCACCGTGGTGCTTTTTCCGTGCAACCATGCAATGAAACTTTCTTTGATACCAAAGGATGACTTTCCCCCCAATTTCTTGCTGAGAAACCAAAGCTCCTCCTCCTCATTCCCTCTTGAGGTCCCCCCCACCTCACCGAGTCCCTTCACCAGGCAGGCCGTGCATCACTTTTACCAATTCCTCCAAATACCTCATAGTAATAACGTGTTAGGGTTACGTTGTATAGAGAGTCTATGTGATAAGGCAGAACTTACTAGTTTGATAATTGTTAAGGTTACTTTGAAAAAAACAAAAAAAAACAAAACACAAACCTTTATAATTCTTATTTATTTTATAGTTTGTATGTTTGGGATGTCCGCCCCCTCCTTGCTTCGGTTTGGGGTTGATTTTCTTGGCAGAACTGCTCTGTTGCTCAAGGAAGACTTAATTTCTGGATACGTCCCCCCACGTGGGTGAAGGGTTGTGTAAAAAAAAAAAAAATGCAAGAATGGAATAAGAAATGCTTTTCATTTGGATGGTTACTTAGATAGTTTTGTGTTTCGTAGTAAAAATTTGTTTCCACAGGGTAAAAAAATATATTATATATAAATATATATATAATCTCTTTTTTTGTGAAACTGGTTTCTATTTTCTCTATAATGTGCTGTGATTCTTTTTAATTTAATTACATTTTATATGAGCTTATTTAATCACTGCTTTAATTTATGACTGTGTAGTTTTTTAAATGTATATAGTAGAACCCAAACGGCCGAAGCTTTGTGTTACAATCTTTTTGTTCTTGATGCTAAGATGAGCTGAAGGCAGGGTGCGGCCTCAGCTTCTCTTGGCAGGCACCTCCGCGTGTGCTGTGGACACTGCCTGTGCCCCCTCCGAAGACTTGTACATGCCAAAGTGAGTGTTTCAAGGCAGTCCTTTTTGTCCCTTGGAAAGAAGAAAGGCGTTATTTGTGATCCTCCTTTAACTTATTGTTGTTGGTTTTTTTTAAAGAAAAGATTACCTTGCAGGTTAGACCTGAAATTCCAAAGAATTTAAGACTTGTTTATGTTCCAAAGCACTGGCATTTGTGAGATACTTGGCTAATTTTTTTTTTTTCCATTCGCACGGGTCTGAGAAATAGAGTATAGAAACTCAAAGAGACAAGCTAACTTGAATTTGGAAATCCTCTTCAGTTTCCCCAAGTTTCTGAATGGCTTCAAGGCAGGGGCAGAGCTGAGAGGGGTGTACAATGGCTTCCCGCCCTGACAGAGCAAGTCCAGGCCGAGGGCAGGGGCCTGGACCTGACTCATGAGAGAAAGAAGCAAAACAGGATTGCTCGGCCCCGATTGCTAGCCCAGTTTAAGGGAAATGGGTCACAGTTGCATATTCCAAACCCACATCTGTTTCTTAGAATCTGCTACTCATGACCCCCAACCAATTCTCCTCAAATGTCAGAGTCCCCTGGCGAGCGTACCAGGCCTGCTTGAGTTTGTCTCCTCTCGCTCTTCATCTTGCCTCTGTTTTTCGTTTCCACGCACCGGAGGCGGCCCCTGCCTCTGGCCCCTGCGCCCAGGCTGGCCAGATACTTGGCCCCGGTTCCATTCAGATCAGCACACGCAGACTTCTCAGCCAATCCGCGGCATCCTCAGCAGGCCCAGTGCCCGCCCGCTATGTTGCTGAAGTTGAAGTTGCTTCAGCTACATGGCACACATCCATAGATGTAAATACTTTTCCTCTCAATACAAGAAATTCACATTCTTTTGCAGGGGTGTTTGGGGTGGGGAAGGAAAGGGAGGGCTTAGCTTTTGGGTCAAATGCTACACTTTCTTACAAGCATCCTTGTACTCGTTGTGTATTTTTAGTAGGGCAACACGTCTGCTCTGAGTCGCAGGACCATTCAGCGCTCTGTTGGTCAGCATTGACTAACCGTGTGTTTTTCCTGCCGACACGGGGCAGTGAGTTACAGAAAGCCAGGAGGGCGGTGGCGGGAGAAGACTCGGACCCTCAGCGGGGAAACGCTGAGCAGAGCGGTATGCACAAGGTCGTGTTTCCTGTTTCTGTGCTAGTCTCGATTTTTTTCTCTTTTTTTGTGTGGATGTTCTGCATTTATTACATAATCATTGTGGACTCATTTTAGATATGCCTTTGGAACCACGTGACGAGTATTTTTTAACAAAATAAACTTTAAAGCATTGTCTTCCACTTGCTTCGGTGATCGTCTTCATATCGCCCCGTGTTTTCTCATCCCTTCCGAGGTCAGCCCACCTGCTGCTCCCTTAGGCCGTCCTTTCCCCGCTCTTCTCTCTTCAAAGCCCCTTGGACTTCAGCTGTTGTTTGAGTGTGACTCGTTTTCCCTGTTCAAGTTAGCTTGATGGTTTATTATGTAAGGA